AAAAAAAACAATATACATGAAAATAAATAACTTAAGTCTCTAGTTAAACATGCAAATAAAGTAACAAATTAAAGAGACAACTGTAATTATGCACAATAGGACAGGAGGTTTAATGACTGTCCTAGTTTAAGTATTTGCCTTGGGTTATCATCAGGAAAGAAATGCTCATGACAAAGACAGGGTAAAGTCAAATAAATGAGCTGGAAGCAACAATGAAATCGCATGAATCAGAGTGATGCAGACGGCTAATATTATCCAGGGACTGAAATTAAGCTTTAATTAAACCGTACTTGAATGTGGTGCATTAAACAACCAGCAACACTGTCTGCAACTCCTGCATATCACAACTAAACAGGGGACCTTCTGTCGGTGATAAATTCCCTTTCTCTGACTCTTTAATTTCACAAACCATTTATACAAACCTGTTGTGTTTAGAGAACAATGCGTGGTGGAAATAAAAACCTAATTTACGAGATAATCTCCCTGAAAACTCAGTATAATGAAGGATTTTTAATTAAATCTACGTTGTGTCTCTCAAGGCAAGTGGCCTGTCTTAAATATCAAGCTGGAACTATTGTTAAGCGTTCAGTGCAGTGCTACGTGAATGTTCACCAGAGCAGTGTAACACTTGAGTGCATATGTTTTAATTGACCTTTCCTTTGTAAGCAAGAGAAAAATGCAGGATTATCCATCGCCAGTGTCCTGAGCTCCTCACAACAACAGAAGTTCAGCATGTGCTGTGGAACCAGGTGAAGCTGCTCAAATGTTAAACAAGTACTCGCTGGAGGACTGACTGCACATGAGTGGGAGCTACTGTGTGAACAGTCCAGATGAAGCTTCACAGTGTCGAAGCAGAGGAATTATTATGATATGAGAGGGAAGAGAGGTTGTGCTGCATAAAAAGAAACACCATCCTGTACAAGGTCGAGGCACTTTCAAAGCAGCGTGCACATACTATAAAGGGTAATGCACACACCCAAAACACACACGCACACACGCACACACACCATCAGTCCGTTTTTTTTTGTTTACTGAAGGGAGATGAAGACACAAAAAATCTGCAGAGACTAGTCGTTCAACCAGAGTCCATGCTGAACAGCTCGATGCCATGAGGGCTCCAGTGCAGGCCGACGCCAGAGTTGAAGACCAGGGACCAGACGTAGGGGATGAAGAAATCCTCCGGCTGGTCCTCCTCCACATACTTAAACTTGAGCTCCGGAAACTTCTAGTAACACAAAAAAAAAAAACAAAGAGAGAGAGAGAGAAAACTGTTACGATGCACAAGGGATAAAAAATAAAAATGATGGCAGATTGAAGGTTTAAAACAAAATAATGTAAGAAGAACATAGTAATTGGATGTAAATCCAGTTTTATGAGCCACAAGAAATGGGACAAAGGAGGTTTGCTGTGTTAGCCTACATGGAAACCTTTACATGGTTGATGGTAAGGATCGCGGCTAATATTGGGCATTTCCCCCCGATTATGAAATGAAATGAAATGAAAAATACTTTATTTATCCCAGAAGGGAAATTCAAGAATATTTTTATTATTTATTTACTTATATTATTTTTTATTATTATTATATTATTTATTATTTTTCATATTATTTTTTTATTATTTATTTTTATTTATAAAAATAATTTCTATCTGTACCATTGATAAATAAACTGTGCTACTTTAGGTCTGACACAGTCTCCTCTCTCTCTCTGTCGTCGCTCTGTGGTCTCAGAAATGTCTCCCAAGCAGAGATCGCAAAAACTTGAACAAGAAACACAAGCTGTTGCCACAAATTATTCTCACCGTGGCTAAGGCTACGCTAACCGCTAGCGGCTAAGTTAGAGGGCAGCCACAGATTCCCCTAAGGCACTGTCTGGAAAACAACTATCATTATTACTACTAAAACAACTAACTAATAATGTTTTAAGATATGTAGCTTAGTGGGCCGTACAAGTGAGAGAAAATAGAGAACAGCAGCAGATGTTACAGCAGGAGACAAATCTCAGTCGATCCCATATAAACAAAGGAGTTGTAGTCACCCTTACTAATGAAGAATCCTAGGTATGATTCCCTGCTATCACATGCTGTTAAAACATTCTATTTAATGCTTGTCTGTTCCAAATATTGCTTATCTGCCCTTCTTGATCACCAACAAGCCGCACCAGCCCAATAAACCCCCCAAAAACCCAACATATCAGTCGATCCCTAGTTGGTGGCAATGTTGGAGGAGCAGAAGTTTCCTTCTCCCACAACTTAGTCCAGGGGAAAACTGCTTAATGTTACCCAGTATGTCGAAACCTGTCAAAGCAGATACTTTGACTTGTCACATCAGGTGTTACTAAACATCAACAATGGCTGTGTTTTATTCATGTGTGTGACAGCGAGCCGACATGCACACAACCAGGACACCGAAACTGAAGCTGCTAAATGGAATTCAGCCACCATTAAGTGTATCATTTACACCTGGGCTGCATGGTCGAACTATACGATGATTGGTACTTTGCGTGTTGCAGCGATGCGGACGGCTGCCGTGAAATACGGCGGGGTTGCTGTTTTGGAAATTTAAGTTACGGCCGTATCAATGTAATGCTTTTACTTGTGGTTAGCCACAAATGACATAAGGTACTGCTAAGACGGTGAAATCCGAGGAAGGCCGGCTTGAAACATGTATGAGTTTGACAGCTTATCAGATGACTAAACACTTCACAGCAGTTTGTAATACAATAGAGTTGTGAAGTGGGAAGACAAGCTATTTCGAGTGCGCCTTGTTCCAGAAGGAAAATTCCTGTTGATTTTTCCTATAGAATGTGGTTCATGAGTCACATCTGGAGCAGCTCTACAGCTTGCATTGACGTAAAATGCTGCTAACTGAATCACTGGCATAAAAGATTAAAATTGTAAGAAAATGTAAGATGAAATTTTCAAAGGCATGATTAAGTTGCAATTCTAATCAAGTTTCATAACATATGTTGTTTATTCTATTTTTAATGTGCCTTTTCTAACATCTTGTCAGGACAGCAGATGTTAAGCAATGAATGTTTATCTATTTGAAATGAAAAGTAAAAATGAAGAGGGATTTGAGATACATAATCTTGGAAGTAAAACGGATTTCAAAGTATCACAGTTCCAAAAGGAAGTCGATACAGGTGAATAAACTATTGCTGACACTATTTTAGCACATTTACGCAAATTTAGCAAACAAAAGCCCAAAATGTGTCACCTGATTTGTCAGTTCGATAAATGTCGAGTGCAAGAAGAGCGTCGAAACTGAGGCGGCAACTATTTATTAATCTTGGTTAATCAATGAGCTTGTCTTTATTCCAAAGTTTACACATACAAGGAATTTGTCTTACTACAGCAATAACTACAGCAAAGAAGACAAGAAACTAAAAGTAAGTATGGCTAGTTGAGATAAATAAAATAATTGATAATGCAAAAACTCAATATGTACAATATGTGAAGAATATACAAATTATGTCGGTTTTTAAAATTATTGAGGATGTACAGTTTGTGCAGAGAAAATATAAACAATGAAATGCGCAAATGTTTACAGTTTGAAGTATAAGAATATGTGCGTATAATAGTCAAGAAAATAAATGTAACATATTGAGACGGATGTGGAGCCTCAAACGCAGCATGTGGTGCAGTGAGGTGTAATAGAAGTCCATGTTAGGGGGGGGATCTTGGATGTGATGGGTTAAAATGTCAGAATATAGTGAAAAATTCTCATTCTAACAGGCAAAAGCTACTTCTTTAAATATGTTGTTGTGTTCGACCAATACTCCAAAACCCCAACCACTTTAATTCACAATGAATGAAAAGCAAACAGATATTTGATTCATATTCTGGTGATCAACTCATCAATTCACTGAAAAAAAAATGCTGTAGCTCTAATTGACATAACCTCATTGTTTACAAGACACCGAGTTGCTCTCGTAAGAAACGCTGGATGGTCTTCTTCCAAAAACGAGCCCACCTTCCAGACCGAAGCAAGCGTCTGGCAGCCCACCTAACAGCAGGTAGGCAGCAGGAGAAGAGCATCAATAATACAACGCTACCTCATTATATCCTCCTGTCTGCACATGCATGTATGTGCACACACGCAGCCAGTAATCAGTCTGCGGTGAAAGACAGACGCTGCAGGCCTTTATGTGATGGTCCCAGTCCGGGCTATTGAGTCCTGACTGGCTCTATTCACAGCCACACTATCGGTATCATAATGACACGGACAGAAGGGCTACGGGGTCACAGGCCATATGCCAGGCTACTGAGGCTAGACCACACACACCACTGCCATTGTGATGGCTAGACACAAAGCAGGACCTGTATTATCTGACTGGTATTTGTGTGTAGGTGACTATCTCTTAGCCTACTAACTCATCAAATGTTCATACGACACTGGTGGCGACAGCGACTCAACCCGAGCTCGCTTCTGCTTGTTAACACGGGACGAAGTAAAAGCACAGTTTCTAATTCTAGTTTAAAATAGTTTCTGTTTGGCTGCATTGTTGGTTCACAAACCAAAACAGGAGGCGGCTGAGCAGATTAACGTCCTGCTATGATCATAGTGATATATGAAACATAACCAGTTATGCTAATTAGGTAATTAAGATAATTAAAACATTAATCAGTAAATACTGCTATGTCAACATGCGTCCAACAGCACATGTGTGGAGTTAACATCTTTCTATCTGAAAGCGCTGATAAATTTTCCCTCATTAATGTGCGAGTATTTGTTAGCAGTGCTCCAAAAACTAATCATCATTTATATGAGGAACATGCAGCGTAAGCAGTAGCTGTCATGTAATGTTTTGGGCTATAATTATAGCAACACATCTATGGACAGACAAAGGACAATGAGGCTATAGAAACCTGAACACAACACATTTGCATAGAGGTGGGACATGAAAACAATGCTTAAGGTTATAAGCTCCTTTAAATCAATCAATCCGCCAATCAATCAGCATGCAAACAGGCTTTTCTCAGCCGCTACTACTTACATTTAAGTGCTTTTCATCTTTGTAGATACACGTATAACTAGCCAAACATCACTACTAAACTCCAAAATTATAATTTTCTCTTAAACAATTTAATTTCTCCCAGGCCTCCATACAGAAGCATGGAGGATTATTATTTTCAACCCCAACATCTACAACAACTAACTAACCAACTAACCACAACATTTTACACAACTACAATCTGAAAATAGAGAAATTGCTTTAAAGCTTAAGAAAAGCTGCCAAGAGAAGAAGAAAATGCTCCTACAAACTGGTCCACTCATGCAAAAAGAATCCTCTGTAATTACAGGAATAGGTTGGCATTTTGGGAAATACGCTTATTGACTTTCTTTCTGAGAGTTAGATGAGAACATCGATACCACTCTCATGTCTGTACAGTAAATACCATATTTCCTTGAATAAAAACCGGCAGTCAATTAAAAGCCGGGTCTGTGATAATGGCCGCGGGCACGGTCGGCGCAAACAAATAAAAGGCCAGCCCTCGAATACAGGATGGAGAGAACACAAGGGTGGGTGAACTCCTGGTGAATGTCATACAGTATGCATACCAGTTAATCATTATAGCTTCATTTATATTACATGCATCTAATGAATTCAACAATACATCACCCTGTTTCCAACCCTTTTGTTTGTTCTGTTGTTTTTAGCCACTGTGGGCTCTTTTTTTTTTTTTTTTTTTTTTAAATATCATTATAAAGTCCTCAATCTCTATGGAAACAGCGTAACCATGGTTGGAGGGAGAGCGAGATCAGAAATACCTTTTGTCCAGGGTGACAAAGTTATAATGCCTGAAATCAGCAAAACTATTGTACAAAAATTGGAAAAGGTGAGAACTCCTAAAGGCAACTGTGTCCACAGGTGTTACCGACTCTGGAAAAAGAATAGGAACATGTGATAAAAAGATATTTTACCATTTTAAATTTATCCAATCTCAATAATTAAAAACAAAAAAGAAGATAAAAACATTGTTCACACCACTCTGCACGTCAGCTATTGAAACTTACTTTAAGTACCTTACACCAATTTGTTGACAACTTGCTCCTTTATATACAGATTTGGAGCCATGCAGCGTTTATTTTATTAGTAAGGTCTGCTTTTTTTCCCTTTTTCAGTCCCTCTACATTGTTTCCATACTTGTCTTTTATGTGCTCTGGTAAACACAGACTGGAGTTTAGGCGAAAAGGCTGAATTTCCATCACATGGCAGAGAT